CTCCTCTTCCTTATATTTTAACTCCTCAAACAGTACAGTTATTAATTCCCAAATTCTCTCTCCTTACTCCCTCTCTTCTGTTTCATCTCTTTCACCCCTTTCACTGACCAACTCCCCTCCTCCCTTACATACACTGGCTGTGGTTTCATGGACTTTTTGCTTAGCAGATAGATAGGCAACTAGAGCATCTGCTTCAAACACAGGAGAAAGGTTAGTACCCAAAACCAAATTGGCACACGTATAGCAAAGGGGGATAGGAACTGCAGGGACTAGTTCAATAGGCTTGCAACCTTGTCTTACCCATCCGTATGGTTGTTGCCTTCCAGACAAGGAATGGAAGAATTGCATGAAGTATCCATGTCAGTTTGTTGTTCACCCCTATTTGAAGTAATCCTGATAGGCCACTCAATGTCCTTGACTATCTCATCACAGATACCCTGCTTTTGCTGGTGAAATGGATCTGAATCTCCTTTGTTTGGGATTTTAGTTTTTCTCCTCAGCTTTTTGAAGATAAATAAAAAAGAAATTTGATTGATAAAAAACATAGCACAACTTCTCATTGCAAAGAGTCACCAAACATCAGAGGCAAGAGAAATTTAAAATAAAAAAGTACAATCACTTACTAATTTAAAATACAAAAATCAATTTAAGTCATTCAAGACTTTCCATAAGTCGGCTCTAAAGTCTTCTTTACTGAAACCTTCAAATTCCGGAAGAATTAGAACCCATCAAACTATCTTCAAACTGATTAATGCCCCTAATCTTCATTGCTTTTCCTTTTCCCTTCAAATATTCTTTTGTTTCTTTCCTTCCAAACCTCCCAACACACTGCAAAGGGGATGCAACTCCAAATAATTTTTGTTTTAGTATTCCCGATAACTCTAGGCCAGCTTCCAAATACCTCAGTATCATCATTGGGCAGCCAACAATCCATGTTGAATAACTTGAAGAAATAACCCCAAATTCCTCTGACGTAGCAGCATTGAACTAGAAAATATAGAACAGTTTCCACCTCAGCCAAACATAATACACATCTGTTTGGGAATTGAAAGCCTCTTTTTTTCAGCTTATCTTGAGTGAGATGCTTCCCATAGATACCAACTAAGCAAAAGCCTCAAATTCTTGAAGGAACCAGTTTCTCCCAAACAACTTTTATTTCCTCGGGCTCCACCAGAAGCAAAGCACTATAGAGAGGTTTGACTGTAAACTTTCCAATTTTGCATTCCTTCCACCATTTGAATCTGACATCAAGGGATTAACCACCACCTCATGCATCTTTGATAACAGCCCAACACATTCCTCCACCTCCCAATCTAGCAACGTTCTTCTAAAATTAGGACACCATACCACTGATCCCTTTATGACTTCATAGCATTGAGCAATTGCCACCCTCTTCTTGCTTAGACTATACAGCCTTGGGCACATCTCAAATAACTTCCCAATTCCAAGCCAATCAATCATCTTCCCAAAATCTAATACTAGCACCATTCCCCACTCTCCAAGACAAGAACGGCTGCATCAAAGAGTGAAACCTCGTGATTCCCTTCCACACACTTACCTCATGGGATGATCTTACCTCTCTCACATCCCACCCAAAATTAACCACCCATCCTTACAAGCTACTACCCCTTCTTGCCTTTGGATAGGCCTTTTTTGTTATAAATAGTGAAATTTTATTAAACCAGCAAATAAGAGTTATTACAGCTACCTTAATGAAGTAGATGGGGATGCGAAGAACTTCCACTGCTCCACCTCATACTAGTCCCTTCCCCCTTCCTATCTCCACCAATACTCCCAATAATAGAGGGAGTTTACAACATTTCTCGGAAGACAAAATGTAAACCAATAATAGGAGGCCTTGTGATCAGATGCATGGCAGAAATAAACAAAGAACTTTTTTGGTAAGCAACTGTGGAGGTTATTATCTGAGCCATCATTATTATGGGCCAAAGTGAAAAGTCAGAAATATTTGGGAATAAATCAATCTTTAGTCAAAACCTGAGAAGCCATCGTTCCAAGTGGCAGAAGCAAATGCTGTTAATTGCCAAGAGTTTAAGCAAAATTTAGTTTGGCAGATAAAGGATGGTCATAGGATCAACGTCCAACATAATCCTTGGATACCTAATGACCTAATCTCAGGGATGAATTCTCCCATCCTCAATCCAGGTCTTATATTGGCAGAAAATGAGGCCAGGGTGTCTAATTTGTTAACTCAAGAGGGGAGTTGGAATGAAGCTCTTGTACATAATTTATTTCCCCCATTCACTGCTCACCTTATACTTCAAATCATACCAAACCCAGCCATTGACAATGATCAGGTTTATGGGGAGGTGTTTGAACAAGAGATGAACATTTTTTCTTGAAAATGAAGATAAACTCTCTGTTTTTTGCAAGGAACAAATAGAGACCTTCAACCATCTGTTTTTCACATGTCCTTACTCGAGTGCTATTTGGTTCTTTCTTCAATTGGAAAACAATCCTCATGAAGTACAGGATAGACAACTCCACGAAATTAAGAAATTCATAAAAAAAAAGATAAAGAAAAAAAAAATCTGCTTCTTAAGAAGTTCATGATAGCTCTCAGAATCATTTGGGACCAAACGAATAACGAAATGTTTGAAAACTCTTTTCTGCAGCCAAATCAGGTGTTGTATAATATTAACTCTTTAACCTCTGTTACTACAGAAGCAAGACAGCACTATGATGCCAATCAACACAATCACTCTCTTGTGACCTCAGAGCACTCATATATTATGTTTGTTCATGAAATTAAGAAGTTCATGATAAAGAATTTCATTAAGTACAGGATAGAGAACTCCAACAAATTAAGTTCACAATAAAAATCACAAACATCTGCTTCTTAAGAAGTTCATGATAGCTCTCAGACTCATTTGGGACCAAAGGAACAAAGGAATGTCTTGAAACTCTTTTCGGAAGCCAAATCAGGTGTTGTATAATATTAACTCCTTAACCTCTGTTACTACAGAAGCAAGACAATACAATGAAGCCAATCAACACAATCACTCTCTTGTGACCTCAGAGACTCATATATTATGCTTGTTGATGGTTCCATTGATCCCCAAACAGGGATATCTGAGCTGCCTTTGTCATGTTGGATTCTTACAACAGAATTATTCATGCAGATGCTAAAGTTCACAAAACACAGGAAGCACTGAAGCTAAATGGAGAAACATTCTAGAGGGCATAGTTGTCAAGGCAACTAGGCAGTTTTACAGTGTTGCCTCGCCCAAACGCCATAGTTTTCAAGGCGCCAAGGCGAGGCTAGGCGACTGGGGGTGCCTTGTCGCCTAGTTGCCTAGGCGATGGATTTTTTATGTTAAAAATATAGATCCTAGGGTAGTTCCCTAGGTACCATAACCATACTTCTTTAATAATTATTCATGATTTTCATAAGAAAAGTATAAATTTCATATTAAAGTATAGAAAATCAACATATTCATGAGAAGAAAATGAAGAAGGAAAATAAAATTCAAAAAATATAGGGGCTG